CAATAGGCAGCATTGTCACCAAACAACGCCTTTGAGTATTTGTACAAGTAGAGATCACCAATGGCAGAGAATACAGACTGCAGCAAACGTGGTGCCCTTATCTGTGAAAGATGGACCGATGGTATAAGAAAGTGTCACACATTTGTATTGGGAGTTGATCTACAAGCAATAACAGTGTAGACGGACAACAAATTCACATCAAAGTTATCTATCAAAGCATTTAGCCATTTACAAGGTATCATGCTTCATCAGGTGGCAATAAAATGTATAAGAAATCAAGCTTTTCGAAAAAAATATCAAATCTTAAGACGAGTTATAAATGGCACTGATCGACATTGTTGAAATTAAGATAGAAGAAAATAAGTACCATGAACCAAGAGTTATCCAGATGGGAAAGTGCAAGAACTTTATATAGAGCAGCAAAAATAACAGGATGCAGGTAGCTCCTTATACCCTTGTTCCATTCCCATGTCAAATGCCCATATCTGAAAAAATTGAGACCATCAATTTCATTGCTTCTTCATAAAAAAATTAAAAACTAAAAGAATCTGAAAATAGCTAGTTACATTTCGGCTTACCCAAATGCAATTCGGTGAGCTACTTCAGGAGCCTGCCAGTGTTCATCCGGGTTGAAATATGTTTGGACAAGCAATGAATTGATTATTCGAGTAACCAAACAAAAGATGAAGATTGTGGATAGAGATGGGTGTGAATTGTTGGTGTGAAGGTTCAATTTCTCAACGTCATCAACACCAGCAGGCAATGGGATTACATGGTTTCTCCTTTGCCTCATCTTCTCCACGCCACCTCTGGATTTTTTTTTCCCTTTTCGTTATAATAATAATAATGTTACTTTATATTTGTCTTGGAAAATGGAATGTACGTGGTAGGTGGTCGAAGCAAAAATAAAAGTCACCGGACATCAGGCGAAGCAAGACGAAGGCAGTTGGTAATTAGTGGTTGAACACCGTCGGATCTCGGAACCTATTGTGGATCCCGTCGTCGTCCGACTGAGAGGCACTGACAAGCTCACACGCGGACAGATCAATATCGTCGCACCGGTGGATCTGCCGATTTTCGCAATGGATTATTAACTAAGTTTTATATTATATAAAAATGATGAAATAATGAATAGTGTATGTTTTGGCCAAAAATATATATTAAGTACTAAATTTAAGATTTGTTCAAGTGAAATTTTTTTATTTTTTTAAAGAAAAGCATAAAGGCATTAAATTTTAGTATATAAAGATAGCGAAAAACATTTAATTTTAGTATAAAAATACAACTATTAACATTAGGAAAAATGCTACAAGTACAACACAAAAGTGCTACAATCCCGTCACACCGTGAGAGATTTTAGTTTTTAGATATACATGTGAGTTAGTTATTTTAGATACTAAAATCACTCTCGGAACCATTCTCCAACTATTGATTTGAGGAGAAGCAAATTCCAAATAAGAGACTTTTCCTTTCCAAATTGCCACACAGACAACTGACCACCTTTACATGCATGCTAATTAGCCATCCAATTAACAAACTAAAATACCAACATCATGCATTTTCACAACTGAAAACACAGATTTTACATGTTCTTAGACCTCTTTTTCTGCAGACAATCACAGGAGAAGAAAGCAAGCAGTAAGCCCTATTAATTAATAAATCTCATCGTTCCCCATTAGCCACGACGAAGAAATGTCGTGTCGATCAGAAGAAGCCGATGGTGCCATGTCAGACACAGATGTCTCCAGCTCCGCCTGCCACATCATACAATAAACCCATACATCCATCACAAACCAGACAAAATCGACTACACCATTAATTTCCGTAAAGCAATTAAAAAAATAGTAGCTAATTACCTTAGCTTGCCGATATTTTTGTAGAAGGCGATTATACTGCTGGCGAGCTGTAGGAGACTCCACCATTGACAACACTCTAGACACGGCCTCGTCTATAGCTCCATCCACTTTCTGCTTCCTAAACACCTTCAATATGCACTCGTCATCATCAACCGGCTCAGAGTCTAGCCGAAACCCGCGCAAACCGACCCCACGCCTGCGCCACCTCAGTATAACCTTCTCCAGTACCCCCACCGCCCAACACACCTTGTAATTCTTCCTCACTTGGTACCCCCTCACATGAGCCTAAAACGCCAGTCAGCAAAGCAAAAACACCGCGTTTATTATATAATAATCTTTTTTCTCGGTTTTTTTGACACAAGTTAAAAAGGATTGTCGGTCACCTGTATCTTGACAACTTTCTGGCGCAAAGCAAGGAAGTCCTTGCGGCCCTTCCATCCTCTGTACTTCTTCTGAATGGTCAAAGCAGCTGAGTTGTAATCACGCGCGTTGCGGAACGCCAGCTTGGCTATGATGGAGTCGTCATCTTCTTCCCTCTGCTGCCTCTTACGGAAAGAATGGGCT